GGTTTGGGGGGGGGGGGAGGGGTGTTAAAGGGTCCTTTTTAAAAAAGAAATAAATCAGTCGACAGCTGCTTTTCTTTGGGGTGGGGAGAAGCCCGAAGTCGCGTGCCCCCTGCTCACCCATCCCTCCCGCATTGGCATTGCTGGCAGGATGGGTCTTCATTTATTTTTAACTTCTCACTGGTGGAGGTTGTAAACAGGTCGTAGTGGCACCGAATCCATCTTTAAAAAAAAAAAAAAAAAAAACACACCATCTGGGTAGATCCGACTTTGATTTCCTCCAGCCGGCGATCGGAGAGGATCAGAAACCCTCTTTTTGTCAAAATTGGCCTGTGTCTCAGCTGACGTGTGGGGCTGTTTATTCTGGATTGGAGCTATTATTACTTATTGTTATTATGATGATGGTGATGATGATTCTCTTCTTTCTCCTTCCCCACCTCCACCCTCCCCGAGTTTTTTCAGCTCTGCCCAGAGAGCACATGATGGGGTAATGGCACCCTCCTCTCCTTGCCTTGCAGCCACACGGCTTATAACCGGCCTTCCTAATGGCTAGAGGCAGATAAGGCGATTGCTGCTGGGTCCTGCTCAGTCATCAGAGACAAGATAGGCTCCTGGCCGGTCCCTCCACCCACCGAGAGCAGTCAGGTTTGCGGTTGGGAGGTCATGAACAACGCAGGAGGGCTCTTCTCCCTGCCCGCCATGCAGCTACAGTCAGGTAGCTCCTTCCCTCTGCGAACTCGGCGCTGGGAGTGGTGCTCCAGTGTTGCAGAAAATGCCATCCCCTGCCGCTCCGGCGTGACTTCAAAACAAAAGTCCCGTGCAAGCTAGTGACGGTGAAACTTTATGGGGGGGTTCTTTTTTTTTTTCAGTCCTCTTCCTTTGACATCAAGTCCAGAAACGCAGCGCGAGGGGGCCAACAGCATCTTGAAAGTATTTTTCTTAACTTTTTAATCCCGAGCCATTTTGGTTCTGGCCAGCCTCAAGGCACTCGTGCTTACAAAAACAAATCGAGATGCGCAGAATTGAGATGCGATGTCTGAAGAGGCTTCGTCTATTGTTAAACATACTTTTTTTCCACACCCCCCCGAGGTGGCTGTAGGCAGGTGGTTATCTGATGCATAGTTTTTTCCCCTGCTGCGTAGGGGAAGACTGTGGCTGCACTTTGCTTTTTAGGAGAGGGTCGTGGTTTTAGTTAATCTCCTGTAGTAATTTCATTGACTGCAGTGCCAGCTGCATGGAGAGCAGGCTGATCAACTTGCAGCCTCCGCTTCCCTGCTGTTAAACTCGGCCAACAAATGATTTGTCGCTCCAGCAGATGTTTTTGCATTTAGGTCAGCAAGGACGCTATCAACTGGCGTGTCTTGCTCTCCCCAAGAATAAAGTCCAGATAGGTTGATATTGCAAAGTGCTTTTACTCCACCCCAGCCTGAGAGACTGATTGCACAAAGATTGCCCGCATAAAAACTATTACTCAGATAAACAGTATATTTTTTTTGACAAGTTGACTGCGTCGGATTATTTTTTTAAAGCCTTTAAACTGTGGCTGGAGTTACCCCCAAAAATGGTTTCAGTCTTTCCCTAAAAGAGTCTGTCCCTTCTCTTCAGGGCAAAACCTGAACAACTTTGGGACTTGGAAACCACAAAACAATTCAAAGCTAGTCTCTCTGGTCACCTTTTTCTGCAGCAACATGAAATAAGATTGTAAGCTTGAAACAAATGAGCAGCTCATGCCCACCAAAATAACTCAGAAGTTGCTAGTGAACAAGTGACTTTTTTAGTCATCTCTACAGATGAGTCTTTCAGAGCTGAACCTCCCAGACTGGTGTTGCATTTAATCCTTTTCATGTGCAGCCAGATTGGTAAAATAGCAACTGTGCGATGTGGGAAGAGAGGTAGTGACCGTGACTGGTCAACCTGCCTGTGGGGACATGGAGGATGGACAAACAGAAAATGGATTTTTCCCTACAAGATGTTCAGCGACACAGAGTCAATGCATCTAGAATAAAGAAGCAAGTGCTTCAATCTGGTGCGTTATTAACCTATGGAACTCCCTGCCTCAATATTTTGAGGGTCAAAGCTATAGGGTTTGCAAGAGGATTTGGTGCTTTTTTTCTGACAAATGAGGCTATACCCCCTTATTTTAAATAGTGAATGGGAATATAAACCCTCATCTGGGCATGAAACAACCATTAAGTGATGGGTGTGGAAAGAAACTATATGGGTAGGTCATTCTGTAATGGTCTAGTTGGCTTTTGGCTCCTTGCTTCTTCTGATGCATCTGTTCCTGGCTTTCATCAGAACCAGGGCCATGGGTTTTTGTCTGGCTGTGTAAAGGACTGTGATTCTGAACTCTGTCTTGGTGGTTGTGCTTTCTGAAGCCAGCATATTAACAGTCAGAAATAAATGAAGTTTTTCTCTTCTGGTTCCCTGTGATTGTGCTTCAAACTCTGTTTACCTCCTCTCAAGGCTGACATGGTCGATGACTTCAGACATCTCAAGTTCAGGTCTTCCCAGATGGGAAGTAAAGCCTGTTGTCAGGCTGCTGTTTTGACCCAAATTGCTTGCTTGGTTGAGGGTCCCTATTAAAGTAATAAGTGACATTATGTTTTGTTTAAAGGTGACAGAGTTAGTGCTTGATAACTGTCGATCCAGCAATGGCGAAATTGAAGGTCTGAATGACTCCTTTAAAGAGCTGGAGTTTCTGAGCATGGCCAATGTAGAGCTGACATCCCTGGCCAAGCTCCCCACCTTGAGTAAGCTCAGAAAGGTATGTATCTTCAGACAAAAACCCGTCGGTTCTCTCTTGCCAAAGTCGTGTACCTTGAAACGCACCAACAGTTAAACTACTTGCGTATTTCCATAGTCACAGTCACGTTTGCATCTCATTGAAATATTTTACTAAACATTGCTAACTAAAGAATTAGGTCTTTAAGACCCTGAATGTAAGTAATGATGGCTTCAAACGTTAATGAGCCAAAGTACTGAAAAAGCATCACTTGAAAACTGTGTTAATGATCGCCATCCCATTCTGTTGTAAAGAAAGGGGGTCAGGAGCAATCACATTAGGTGAAGTGCTGGGAACACTGAAATCATTGTTCGTTACCTGTAAGGAACCAGCTTCAACCTACTCTGTTGACCTAAAGCCTGTACAAAGATCCAATGCTATGTTTCACATCCCTGTGTGAAAAATAAAGCCTGGAAACATTTTAAGTTTGCACCATACTAAACATGTTAACTGAGCAGTTGGAATCGGTGAGATCACTTGCCAACTTACAGTCTAATGTGCTTAAGTGTCTGTAGACACCCAAGTATGAAACTAGTTAATGAATTATCACTACCAAGTACAGGTGTGAAGAGATTCTGAAATAAATGTTAGGCTCTAAAGAGACATACATGTGATCAACATGGGTTGCTATATTTTTAACCAAACTTCATTTTATACAAGTAATCTGAGGTTTTATGGGCTCTACAGGAAGTCAATAGTCTTGTGATGCATGTGTTCTTTCAATAAAATACAGGCTCTTGGTTGGTTTGATTGCTATCAAAATCATCTAATTGTCCAACTTTTGTGTGCTATAGCTGGAATTGAGCGACAACGTCATTTCGGGAGGCCTAGAGGTCCTGGCAGAAAGATGTCCAAATCTCACATATCTAAATCTAAGTGGGAACAAAATCAAAGATCTCAGCACTGTGGAAGCCCTTGTAAGTACAAAGTAAGATTCTTAGAAGATTGCAATGTGTTAAAGAAGTCAGAATCTTTCTAGCATTATAAAAGATAATAATTTTGTAATTGAATGCAAATGTAATGTTTGTAAGTGCCTGAGGATAGAAGGTCACTGCAAGTAGAAGGGATAAGTACAACAAACACAGTTTAAATAGGAAATCAATAAAACACAAAAAGATAATAAACACGATGGCTTAACTGTGACATTCAACAGAACTGAACAGTATCCAAAGAGCAAAACTCTCACTATTTCCCAAGCCTTAGGTAGCTTAATTTGCCAGTTCTGGCAACATTTGAATCTTCTTTTTTTTTTAATTTCTGTATCCCGCTTAGGCCAGTATTGATTACTCCTATTGCAATAAATGCATCATCCTATGGTTCATTAGAGACAGACTTGTAAAGACACTGTAGTTATCAATTTTGTGTCAGCCATGGGTTTTACGAGAGGAGATGTGTTCAAACTTGTGGTCTGTCAGTGATAGTTCTGTATTGCCGGGCCTGTATTTATTTTCAGTGGTTAAAATGCATTAAAAGACGCTATGATTTCTTTAATAACAACTGATTATGCTAAAAAAAAAAAAAGTTAAACTGCTTGGTTAGTGAATGAAAGGTATCCACAAGACCATTTTTAACAAGTGGTTTGTGCCCTAGTAAAAACAGTTAACACATTTTTAATTAAGTTTTTGGAAGCAAGCTGCTAATCTTTTATGATTAATTTTGCTGGTCTTATTACTAAACACAGGCTAAACAAGTGTTTTAGAAACTTGGTAATGATAGTCTGCCTTGAATCTCACTGGTTCGAGTCGTCACAGAGATAAAATTGTTTCTATTTAAGTTAATTATACTTGTTGCATACTTGTTTAAGTGCCAAAACTACCCTCTGAAAGTGGTGTCTCTTATACGTGGCCCACGAAAACTGCAATTTCATAGCATCATTGAACTATTTAAAAGAACACCTCAAACAGCTAATGACTGTAGTGGGCTACAGAACCCAGATCTACTCCCTAAGCAGGATTACCTCTATCAGCACATCCATAGCTGCCCCTTTCAAGCCATGGAAAGCTGTCTCTCCACCAGGCATGGTAGGATTGGTGCTGGGACACAGTTGGCTGTGCTGACTACAGAGAATGGAAGAGCCCTGGGTGATTATAGGATCATATTTCTGAAGAGGGATGTACTTTTGGGGGTTCCAGAAGCAAAGACATGCATCTTAATGGGAAGTAACCTGGGTCAAAGCTATTTCAAAAGTAAGTGTAGAGAGAGAGGTGGTATCTCTGGTCTTATGGGGAAGGAACTTTGACTGTCAGCACCAAGACTTCTTAAATGAAGTCTGGACAATGGGGAACAGCAAAGGAGAAGAGAAGGTGGTGGGTATACACAGTAAAATCAATGACATTTAGGAGGCAACAGTACAGTACTTGGAGGTACCAAGTAGTTGTTTCATCTTGGTGAGTAATTTTTAATTCATTTTCAGCAAAATCTCAAAAACTTGAAGAGCCTGGACTTGTTCAACTGTGACGTCACAAACCTGGAGGATTACAGGGAAAGCGTTTTTGAGCTGCTTCAACAGATCACCTACCTAGATGGGTTTGATCAGGAAGATAATGAGGCCCCTGACTCAGAAGACGAGGATGATGAAGGTAAGTTCTCTAAACATGCAGTCATTAGTTATGCCATTCAGCCGGTATCTAAATATAAAATTGGAACTAGAGTGACCGTGCAACTGCTGGAGCACAAATTGACTACATTTTTGAAGTGTAGGCCAGTATCAAATACTGCTTCTGTTGAGTAATGAGGGCAGGGGGAATGCACTTGCAAACAGTATAATCACGGGTGCTGTGCACAGTTAAAGGAGAATTGCACTTAGGAAAATATGAGTATAAATCTTTTTACTGAGACATAACTATATAGAAGCAGTCATTTTATTGCTGATACCAAAAGCTTTTTTTTTTTTTTTTTTTTTTTT